AAACATTAAACTTACAATACAAGAAGAAATGAATAATAAAATTGAAAAAATAAGACAGGAATTTAAACAGACAACGGACAGCGTAATTATTGAGCAAAACAACATAAAACAGGATATAGTGACTGTAGACAATAAAATAAAAGATATAACAAACCAACTTAACAACTTAAAAAACACAAGAAAAATAGTACTCTACTATTTTCGGCTACTACGGCTCCCAGAAACATTAAATGAAACAGAAAATGACTTATATTTACGTGTTTCCCAAGCTTTCCATGATATAATGGATATAAACATCGATCCTTACATGGAAAACATAAAGCGATTAGGAAAACAGGGTGCCCGCAGACCACTTATGAATAAAAGGATGACTAAATACATACTACGTAACTCAAGGAAATTTAAAAATACCGGATTGGCTGTGTACATGAATTTGGAAGGAGAAAAATTACAAGAAAGGAACCAATTAAGACAAAACCTACAAAACGCAAGAAAAAGTGGAAACCAAGCATATATAAAAAATGATAAACTCTACATAAATGGCTCGCAGTGTTCTATCGTAACCCATAATAATATCCGGACCGACGACGTTGAAAGTGAAATGCTTTCGGGTTCTCAAAAGAAATTAGAACCCTCACGTAAGGAGATGTCAAAAAACTAATTACTAGTAGTAATTAATAGTTATATGTCAAAATATACAAAGCATTGGAAATAAGCTCCATATTTTAGAACATTTCTTATCCAACTCTAATATAGATATATTGCTTTTGTCAGAAGTGTGGAAAAATAGATATTTTTGTGATTCTATTACATGGGCAGGGTATAAAATGGCTTCAATATTCTGTCGTGAATTTCATGAAGGAGGAGGAGTCTGCTTAATTACTTTTGTTGAGAGAAAAGACATTGTAAATTTGTCAAAAGAATTTGTCATAGAATTTAGTGCAATTGAAATACCTAAACTAAATTATATAATCATAGGGTTATATAGAGCGGACCGCGAGATAAATATATTTGAACAACAGATGTCAAAATTATTAAAAAAATTAAATTCTAAAGACAAAAATAAAAACATAATAATTTTAGGTGACTTTAACATAAATACTTTAACTAAAACTAAGCAAAATGTCGAATTAATAAACTTAATGCTATCCTTTAATCTTAAACTAATCATTAATGAGCCTACTCGCGTAACAAAAACATCGTCCACTTGTATTGACTTGGCTTTTACTAACAATGAACCTACATTATCTGACTACTGTGTAAAAGACTACGGCCTTTCGGACCATAGAGCTGTTAAAATAAAAATAAAACAACCATGTAAACAGAGTAATAACACAACGTGGCATATCAAAAAAAGAATTTTCACTAAAAGTAACATAAATAAATTTAAATTAATGATAAAAGACATAAACTGGAACAATAAAATAAATAAAGATAGTGACATTAATAAAAATTATGAAGTATTTGTAAAGGAATTACTAAAATGTTTAAATATATGTATACCTGTGCAAAAAATTAAATTAAATAACTATACTAGAAAAGGCTGGTTAACAACTGGTTTAAAAAATCATGCACGCATAAACGTATACTAAGAAAAATATTGAACGAAACTGGAAACCAAACTATTAGAAAATTCTTTAATAAATACAGTAAAATATTAAAAAAATGTGTAAAAATATCAAAACAAAAAGGATATATTTGACTGATAAATAAATCTGATAATAAATATAGATCTAAAATAATTAACATGAAAACTGGGAAAATTAAGCAGAAAAGTCGTAAAAATATATCTCTGAAATCTAATAATAATATAATAAATTGTCCTAGAAATGTAGCTAATACTTTTAACGAATATTTTTCAACAATAGGCGAGTCTGCAAATACATCAACATTTAAACAAACTAGTTCACCTGTTCCATGTTTTTACATCCTGTCGACTTAAAAGAGATTTTAAACATTATAAAAACAATGAAACGTAAATATAGTTGTGGAATCGACGATATTCCTCCCATTCGGGTCAAAGAATGCGCGAGCGAACTGTCACAGCCCCTCATTATGCTCGTAAATCAAAGTTTCCAAGATGGCAAATTTCCAGACTTATTAAAAATTTCACTAATCAAACCAATCCACAAGCAAGGTGACACACAGAACCTCGTGAATTATAGACCCATCGCGTTGCTTCCCACGTTTTCAAAAATATTTGAAAAAGCAATGTGTAATAGATTATGTGAATTCCTTGAAAAGTATAAAATATTAGACAATAGCCAAAACGGTTTTAGAAAATCCAAGTCGACCACTTTGGCAGTTTACCAATATATCCAAAATGCGTTACAACACTTAAATGATAAATATAGCGTGTTAGGCTTATTACTTGATATGTCAAAAGCATATGAAAAAGTATCATATAAAATACTGCTATCGAAACTATATAATTCAGGAATCCGTGGCCCAGCCTTCTCTTGGTTCAAATCATATCTTCAAAACAGAAAACCAATAGTCCAAATCGAACACTATAGCAACAAAAATGAAATAATGAATATACATTCAGAGGAAAAAAGTCTATCTTGCTCTATCCCGCAAGGCAGCGTGTGTGGATGTGTTCTTTTTTTGATATACATAAATGATCTACCAAAAATATTTGATAGGAGTGAAGCACTACCAGTTCTTTTTGCGGATGACATATCAATATTGCTAAAATTTCAGAAGGGAACTGATCCAAATGCACTAATAGAAAAAACTGTAGATACTGTAACAACTTGGCTCGAGAACCATAATTTAGAGATAAACTATAAGAAAACGAAAGCTATACAATTCAGAACATATAAAACCCCACCATTAAATGTTACAGTTGTTTACAAAAATATAAATATCGAATTAGTAGATACATTTAAATTACTCGGTATAACTATAGATAGTAATTTAAACTGGAAAAGTCATATTGATTATGTTAAAACTAAATTATCCAAATTTATATACGCACTCTTTGAAATTAAACAGAGTACTAACTTAGAAACAGCTCTATCTACATATTATGCATATGTCTATTCCTGGTTGCGGTACGGCTCTATGCTGTGGGGTAATAGTGTGAATTCACATGATCTTTTTGTTGTGCAGAAGAAGTGTATTCGTATCCTTGCACAAATAGACAATACAGTGAGCTGCAAACCTTTCTTTAAAAAATATTAAATACTTACTCTTCCAAGCATATACATACACGACATATGTGGTTTTGTATTTAAAAATTCTAACGCGTTTAATAAAGTTAGCCAAACACATACTATTAATACCCGCCATAAAAATAGATTAAATCATCCCCCATCAAGACTAACCATGCTTAGCAATAGCCCCTACTACATGGCAGTTAAGATATTTAATAAATTACCACATTCTATAAAAAACCAAAAACCTATTACCACATTTAATACAAAACTTAAAAATTTTCTAATTGATAAATGCTTCTATTCTGTGGATGAATATTTCAATTACAAATAGATAATAATTTAATATATGAATGCACAAAGTTAAAAAGAAAATATATTTATTAGATAAATGCTTTTAAATATACTTTTTAATATATATAATGAACACTTTACAACAAAATAATACTAATGAGGCGATTTTTTTATTTTTTATTTTTTTTTGAAATACAAACCTAGTATGTAATAATCATGTTAATTGACATATTATTTTATTTTAATTTTATTTTATTGACATATTTATTAATTTTAATTACTGACAAATTTAATTTAATTTTATAAATGAATTTCCATTTCTATTATATTTCTACTGTTAATAAGATCAATTGAGTAAGTTATATTGTTAAACAAATGGAATCAGATGACATTTATGCATAATTTGAGATTAATTTGAGATCTATTTAGTTCAGGATTATTGCAATACCCTAACTGGGTTCTTGTTTGGAATGATATATATATATTTTTGTAACAGCATGTAAACAGCAAGAATGCAATAAATGAATAAATGAATAAATGTTACCGTAATAATATTGATTGTTTGTTCTCTTAAGTTTCAGTACTGCAGCTGATTTAAATTCTGCAATCGCTGAAATAGCCTTTTCTATTCTGTCTCGAGTCCATAACGGTTTTTCTTTATCCTGCCGCCCGACTAACATCGCCATAATAGCTTCATTAAACTGAGTTTCACACACAAATCCAGTATGTGGCGGATTTTCTTTCACATTCGACGCCATTCCGCAAAATTATACTCAAAAGTACGCACGCGCGACGTTCCTAAACGTGTGTTTGAAACCGACTGACAGACACCGCGGGCGGGTGCGCGGTGGAGCAGGAAGCGGGATAGATACCCACGGTCTGCGTATTTGCAAGCGCGACCCAAACAAGAACTTACATGTTTTTTGTCATTTCACTAAACCAATTTAGGGATTTGTTCAATTAACTAGATTTGTTTAGGGAAAAGATAAAATCGTGTTGTTATTTTAACATCCTCCGTGATTTGATCAAATCCCTTAGGGAATTGATCAAATCCCCGTTTTTATCATATCCCTGCGACATATAGACTGTTAAACACTATACCCTGTCTGCGCGTCGCGCTTCGCGCTCTTGCATTGCGCAGTCGGGTAAAAATAGGTGGCATCGCCTCAGCTACAGCAATTTCAGAAAATGCCCTTTCTTTTGATAGTTTTTATTATTCGCACGAAAAAGTGAAACCAACCATTTCCTTAACTATTTAAAATAATTATTAACAGTTATTTCTATCCTGTGTATTTTCTGCGGGTTTTCTGAAGATCTGTAATACAGGCATGTGACTACTATATTAGACACCAACTCCTCACATTACTACTATGAAATAAAAGTTGCTGTTGTATTAGTCTGTTATCTATGATGTGAGGAGAATAAAGTTTCTATAAAAAAAAGTTCAGCTTAGATGACGATATTAAACATACCTTAATTTCATGAGAACCTAGATAATGTATAGGTAGCAATACGAAACAATCACTGGTAAGACCATGGTATACCTACATCGGCTTGGCTGTTCATATAAGTAAGCTGCAGTCTCCTATGCTCCTGGAATGCGTTCCTCAGGAATTGCTTATCGCCATAAACTGCTACGCCCAGCTCCCCTCTTTTCGTGGATATCTCCTTGCGTAAAGTTCGGATATCTCGAGAGTAGCGCTTCTTCTGTTTCGCCAAATCCCCTTCATGGATCTTTCGGTCGCGTTCTGTATTAGGCGAATGTGGTTAGATCTTAGATCATAATAGGAAGGGAAGATATGGTACGCTCAAACTAGCATCAAATAAAATATGCTCCGACTCAACTACATAAGCAACTCTCACGCACGCACACTTCTGTAAATAAACATTAAATCGAGAGAGCAAGACAGAACAGTACCCTTAGCACGAACCAATATCGAAATCGTAACGTTTGCGAGTACGAAATGTCATTGTCAAATGTGTACTATTTTTTAGTTCTTATTATGTAGGTTATGGCGCTGCTGTTCAAGTTTCCATACAAAATTTGACAATGACATTTCGCACTTGCAAACTATTCGAAATTTCGAAGTCTACGTCGTCCAGGTGGCAGCTTTATTGGGAAGAAAATGCATTTTTTTACAATAGATGTCGCTAGGTGCGCTTAAATGTGATTCATGTAAGTGAATAAAAATTTTCTGAGAGGTAAACTTTTTAATGTAATATATTTATTTATTTATTTTTTAAGTTTTATAAATGTTGATTTAAATAAAGATGTATGCAAAGTAAAGACGTATTTTTATTTAATATTAGTTAGCCCAATAAGTTTAGGTAAAAAGAATATTTTCATAAGTGACACACAGAATGATAACAAGTCAGTAGCTATTGCAACAACTAAAAATCAATAGACAATATTGTAGAGATGTGGTCTCTTCACATTATTTGGGATAACAACAACCTTGTACATTCATTATTAAGATCTAGTCACAATAACTAAGGTCAATTATAGTTATCCACATATTAATCCTTACATTATTAGCTTATTCATAATGTTTTTAAATTCAAACATTTTATTTTATTCTAAGGTAAGGTAGATGAGTAAAAATCTATAATTATTAATTCTTGACTTGATTCTTGTTGACTGCAGCTCGGTGGGCCGAGGCGGGAGATGTTGTAGGTAGCATATTGGTAAGTAGTTGTTTATCGTCGCACCGCGCTGGGCCGCGTCGTTCAAATCTTACATTTAACGACGCCGGATAATCTTGGTGTGTTTTTTTTATTACACATTTGAAAATATATTTTTAACTCATATTTCACTATTCTACTATGCCATATATATTGCTTAAAATTGTTTATTGTTGTAAATATGTATAATCAAAGTATGCACTTTATTATATGAGTATGTAAATAAATAAAAAGAAAATTATAAAATACACATAAGTGCATACTACACATGAATTAAAATATGTAAAAAATAGGTCCTAAATAAGTAAGATCTGTCGGAAGAGCAATAAAAAAGGGTCACATTGAAGAATTCTGCCTCAATAACAATTTCAATATTATGGTAAGCGAACAATTTCAAATTCGAGTCAAAGCAATAGTTGACTCAGGTGCCTCATCACATTTTTTCAGCAATAAAACCATTATCCAAATTACAGAGAAAGTAGTAGTGCCAATTAGGTGTGCCAATGCTGAGAATATGATAGCGCAGGGGACCGGAAGAATTGTAACGGACTCTGGAAAGCTGAAAGATGTACTGGTTTTCCCGGAAATCTCAAGGAACCTGATTTCGGTGAGCGCAATTACTGACAATGGCACTGTACACTTCTCTGGAGAAAAGGTATTTATTCGCTAACTAAATAAAACAATTCTAATTGGAAATAAAAGTAATACCGAGTTGTATGAAACAGAGTTCTTGGCTAACTATACTCGAGAAGCGCTTCTCACTGAGAGTGTTAACATCTGGCATCGGAGACTAGGTCACGCATCCGACGTGCCTCGTAAATGGCATTAAAATTGGGGGGGAATATTCGAACAAATTTTGCGAAATCTGCACAAAAGCCAAAATGACTCGAAAACGTCGTGTACTTGATCGCCTTCCGAGACATAATGAGAACTAAAAATGTAAGTGCCTTGATAAAATTAAAAAAAAATGTGTATTTAGCTGAAAATCATTTCAATAGTAAAGTAAACAAAATTATATTCGATAATGGGGGTGAATACTCGGGCAATAACCTACGTGCGTGGTGCCAGGCTAAAGGGATAGTACTGGATGGTACCATACCTTTCACGCCTCAACTAAATGGAAAAGCTGAAATACTGAACAGAACCCTGATGGAGAGAACAAGGGCTCTAATGTTCGACGGCAAGGTTCCAAACTATCTGTGTAGTGAAGCACTGTTAACAACAAGTTTCATGGTCAACAGAAGTCCAATAGAAGGTAGAAACAAAACACCAGCGGAAATGTGGTTCAAGATAAAACCCAACCTATCAAACATCAGAAGATTTGGATCTACAGCATTCTACAAAATAAATTTTGGCTTACGAAAACTTGATGAAAGATGCGGCAAAGGAATACTCATCGGCTTCGTTAGAAACTGCTACAAACTTTGGGTGGATTTATTATTCGGTTTTATTTTTATAATACTTGATATAAGCAATCTGCTGCATGCATGCTGCACATGCAGCGTGTTTAATGGACTAAAAGCGAATTGTGGTCATACACCACAATTTAAGCGGATCACTTTTAAGCCGCGAGTGCCGTAACTTCCCTTATTGTTTTTATCTAAATGAAAAATACCCAGATATGCTTACCATACAATTTAATAAGTCCCCTGTATTGATTAATTTTGTCTTTTATCACCCAATTCTCGTCTTGCATTCCATGTATACGAACTTTGGCAGCCGACAACATGTTTGTGTATTATATATTCAATAAAAATATAATACTAGAAATAAACACAAATAGATAATGACACATGAAATATTTCCTCTTTTTACTTTTTAAAATTTAGTGACATAAAGGTACATTGAAACTTTTTGACTAAACGAAGGCTTAACGCGTACTACGGCGTTTGGACGTCGCGGCGAAACACCGCGTGGAAAAACACTGCCATGTTATGTTGTGTTTGATAGAATATCAAATACTTAAAAGTGCGCGAAACAACGACGGCTTTGCCGCTACCGCCAAAATTCTGCGTCCATTGACAGAATCAATCGGCGACGCGTCTACCGCAGGTTTGTTATAAGTATTACTATTTGTATGCAGCAACGTTTAATGGAGGATTTGATCAAAAGTACTTTTCGTTTCGTAATAAACAAATGTCTAGAGCATCTGCATCATTTTCTTCGGCAGTATCTGTTCATGATGAATTATTAAATGAAAAAAATTATCTATTATTAAAATTATTGATCTCAATATCGGATGCAATCATGGACTCATGATGCAATCATGAAGATTTTTATCTATGGATGCAACCAACACACCTTGAACGCACCGAATTCAATACTTGTTTTTTTTACTACTTATAGATAACTCTGTAACATTAGAGCACATACACAGGCTCATTTCTACATAATCGAAATCCATTTTGCTTGTGGCACTCATGGTAAAAAAACACGCGGGTACATGTGAAATGCCGCTCCGGTGTTGACGCCGCTGCCGCCAATAGCCGCAATGCGCGCGCCGGAAGGTTTCAAATTCAATCATGGGCCTTGAATTTCGCTATATGTATACATGGCATATATATGGTGATAACTTCGCCTGTGCTTGTACTTGGTCCGTAGTTTCTAATAAATAAAGAGAGAGGAGATGGGGTTAGAGTAGGCAACAGCGCCAGTGATAATTTGGTATCGCAAGCGCGTACACATATAGGCTATGGCGGCCGCTAATCCTAATTGGTTAGGTTATCGGGCGGGCCATATGATTGTTCGCTATGCCTAAAACAAAAACAAGAGCTCACGTACCCGTCAAAAAATCTTACTGGAAATGCTAAAATTTGGTACCTACATTTATTTTTAATATTTATATTAGAACGTAAGTACCGTATAAATCAATTTTCAATTTCGTGATCGAATTCGTGTATAAAACTATAGATTACCAGTTACTTTAGTAGGTACTAATAAATACTTCACGTTCAATAAATAGGCTACATTAAAGCTTCTTCTAGACCTTTTTCTAGATACCTGTAACAAAATATTGTATTTATTTGTGAAAAATAATCCTCTTATTTTATAACTTTAACTTTTTAAAGTTCTTTTAATTAGATATTTAAGCTATACCTAAGTAGTTGCTGCCCATATGTTAAAGAATCCTAATTTAATTTACTTTTTTTAATCAGAATTATTCATTCAAATACAAATAAAAAGCAGAGTAAAGCTATAAAAAATATTATTACATACCTACTACATGTATAAAGCTCAGAAAATAGCAATTGAGACTATGATTACACAAACCAAATCCAAAATAAAATCTTCTATTTATTTTTTTAAAGAAGGTAAAGGTACCAAATTAATGACTAAGCGAACGCGAAATAAAGAATGATTAACAGGTCCGTATCGAAAACGAGCCAGCAAACTTGATGGGTTCAGGTGTATGCTCTTAGTTATACGTTACCTACCTAATGTCCTTTGTTTGTTTGTCTGGGAAATGCCTTACGCACCCTCCACCCCCGGAGGAGCGAGAGGAAGGTATCTGGGACTCCTCCCTGCTCATTTCAGCAAGCCCGAAGAAATAAGCAGAGCCCTAACTAATGCCCTGTCCAAGGGCCAGTAAAAACCAGACAATACTTCTGCACCGTTCGCCCGACACGCACTCTGAGGACCGAAGTCGCCGTCGCCGCCGAGTTTGTGCCGTGCGTGCGGGTGATGTTGCGGTAATCCGTTGCCGAACGACCGCACACTTACCTATTGACCTGATTGCCGCATTGCTGATGGTGTCAGTTAACGAGTCTACATTGTATGAGGGTTTGCATACACTCATCTTAACAGCGTCAACACTTAATTTCTCTTGGAACACAATTACATTTATAAAAATTACAAATAAAAAAATACAATCTATTGGGAAATCTCAGAGTGAGGGTATTTCCAGCAAACAATAAGAATAACAGACGGAGTAAGCACATGGGTAAGAAATGTAAAGCGGTCTACACACCAAAGCCGCTGACCCGGCGGCACGGATCGCCGGCCCAACCCGCCGGCCTTATTTTGTACAATCATGCCGCCGGCTTGCGCCCGCGCGGGCAAGCCGGCGGGGCAGCATGCCGATGCCGACGGCATCCCTCTCCACTCACTCAGTCGCTTTGTTGCCCGCTGGCTTTCATAGAGTAGTGACGTATCACTTATTCATTGCTAGAACACCTCATGCGGCGGCTGTCGTGCCGCCGGCATTGCCGCCGGCAAAGTCGTTCGGCTTGGACATTCTGAAGCCGCCGGGTTAACCCGCCGGCACTAAGCCGCCGGGCTGTGCCGCCGGGTGCTTTGGTGTGTAGACCGCTTAATCGGTGTGACTAGACAAAAATTAATTTATCGTTTCTTGAAAATTTTAGGAATTGAATATTGAAAAATTATCCCCTCATTTCTCCCAACTCCCTCTTATTTATCAACAATGCACTTGTTTATTAAAAATGCGATACTATTTATGCCAATCCTCCGTGATGAGCCCGGAAACATGAAAATGGTGGATCAAATAAATAATTCTTGATTTTGATGATACCCATTGTTATGTATTTCCACCGATAATGTTTTTGTAGATTGTAGTATCTTGCTTATGCTTATGGTAGATATCATTTATTCTAGAAATCCCTTCTGTTATATCCCCACCACAATCATATTTGTTGTTCGAGATAGTCTACTAGGATTTCCTAACTTTCACTACGGCATCGTTTAAAAATTTTTTTTTAAAGGAAAGCAGTTTCATTTCAAATATCTGAATAACTTTTTAAATTATATTAATGCAAGAGTAGTTCCAGATCTCTTTAGTGCGCCTTATGTATGTGAACCTAAACGTTTGTTACCGTTTAGGTAGGTATATAATTTTCCTTGTATTTAGGTATATAACTTTCTTGTATAGTCGTGTTATGTAGTCCTTAATCTACCTCCTTCCCCCTTAACCTAATCCTTACGTCATAGGCAAGAACTGCTGGACCAATTTTAACGTGCTCTGTTTTTTAACTCCTCTTGTAAAACAAGCGTCTTCAAAAACCAAAAACTGTCGCGGTAAAGCTATTGCATAGCATTTTGTATCAACTTATGCAATTCTAATTATTTTATTTATGCAGTATTTTTTTTTCTTTGATATTAATTCAAGTTACACTTTTTGAGCGTGGTGACTGTTCACAAACAGCTGCTTACGTATTCGTCCAAATTCGGAGCAGCTCGTCTCAATCCGTGCGAGCTTCGTACAGTCGTACCATATACATGCACGTTAAGGTTCAACTGGTGGCGGGCTCGAACTCACTCGTGGACGCGGCCAAATAGCACTCTGTCTCACCTAGCATTGTGTCTATAAGAGATAGAATTAGTTATGAGCAGTTAACAGCTAGTCCACGCGCATACGTCTAGTTGCACGCTCACAAACACTGTGCCGAAGTCTGCCGAACTGAAACGATGTTAGACGATGCACGGCTTTCAACGCCGCTCCGTTGTGCCGGTCGGAGTGGGGAGTGTTATGTTTATTTTCGTTACGGAATTTCTTGATTAGGTCACCGCGCTCAATGCCCGCGATAAAAGCTATGCAATAGCTTTACCGCGGCAGTTCCCGAGTGCCACACGTATTTTTTTTACACAACTGCAATAAAAAACTTTCAAAAACGAAACTTTACTGCGATTCAGGATGAACAAAGTACCACTAGTGGTAGCAGAACTGAATACATAATGTGATTGTTTGCGGTTGTTTGTACACTAACAGACTAGTTTTATGGTACTTACCTATTCTTGGGACGTACTTTAAGACTAGTCGTACCGATGAAATCAACAAAGTGATTATTGTACGTAAAGCATTTTCACTCCACCCACTCTACCCACTCCTCCCACTACCACTACCCACTTCTCATACTCTACCATTCCACACTCCAGACACTCTATCCACTCCTACCACATCCCCCTTCTCCCACTATACCACTCCACGATCCTCACACTCCATCCACTCTACTCACTCTTACCACTCTACTCACTCTACCCACACTACCTACTCTACCCACTCCACCCACTCCACCCATTCTACCCACACCACCCACTCTAAATATTCCTCCCACTCTTCCCAGTCCATCCACTCTACCCACTCTACCCATTCTACCCACTCCACCCACTCTAAACACTCCTCCCACTCTTCCCAATCCATCCACTCTACCCAGTCCACCCACTTTACCCACTCCTCCTACTATCAATCTACCCTTTCCTACCACTCTACCCACTCTACCCCTCTACCCACTCTACCCCTCTACCCAATCCACCTACTCTACCTACTCCTCCCACTACCACTGCCCTTTAATTTTGACCTAATACTCGGCCGATTGAATTTTAGCTGGTCCATCCATCATCCAATGCAGTTAGATGCAATTACATGTTTTCTTTATTGACAGTACACTCTAAATATAACCTTACTACTTAATTCATGATACTACTTATATGATTCTTACATATCTCAGCAAATGTTAAATGTAAACAAAGAAACACATTAAGTATCAACCATAATTAATTAATAGTATTTTGCAATTGGGGGTGCAGGATGCTGCATGTAGGAGTCTTGACGGCGATGTGTGGACTGTAGCTTTTGATAAAATAAAACTCGCAGTGTTCCTTATCGAAGAAAATCGGTGGGCGCTGGTAATGGATGGCCGGCGAGGAGTCTTCAGGTCCAGAGTGAACCGCTTGTTTCATCCTGTTCCTTTAAGTAGGAGCGCCTGTTGCTGAATGACATGTAGGACCCTGTTTCGGCCCGATTTTTATAAGCGCGTGCTGAGCTGGCCAGCGATCCATTACCTCACCCCCGCTATACTTTAAATTTCATTTATTTGTCACATACAATATCTCTAGCTTAAATCTATAGGTACATACATGGGGCATACAAATTAGCACAAATCCTCATAATTTAGCTGTGGCGGGCAAAATTTGGTGACCGCGATATTTATATCTCGCTCTTCCATGGGCCTCCGCCCGCGACAGAGTACTTTTCTTCCACCACGCACATCACGCGCGTGACGTGTAAGCCGCGCTTAGCGCGCTCCATACAAAATAATTTGTTCTAATTACAGACTTATTCGGATAATTATTAGTTTGAAACTATGCAATTTACATTGATCTATGTCCTATTGACCCATTCTAATAAGAGTCTAACCGGATTAATCCAATACAAAGCTATATAAACTTTGCCCTACAAAGTTCCAAAACTAAAAGCTCTCTAAAAACCTGCATAATCCTATTTTATACCTAATTTACGTATCTCTCGTATATTCTATTGGATGAGTAAAAACACATGAAATAAAAACTTTATTATCAAACTTATAACTATATAAATAACTTATTATCGAAGAGAATCTATTTCTAACTTTCCGCCTTAATTGCGCCTATAATCCTATACTAAACTTAATTATTTTTATTCCTACAACTATCTATTATCTATATCAACACAAAGAATATCAATTAAAACACATTAAATGAACAATTCCGAAGGCGGACAAATCTAAAAAGTCCTATCTATGCCAACTATCGGTTTACGAATTGTGCCTCTGGGCCACGGCTCGTTGCCTTGTTAACCATTTATAGAAATTTCTTAATTTGAATCCTCTCTTATAACAAAACTATGACTTATTCTAATAAAATAACATTGGAATCGTATACAAATGACTTTTGGTTAGTTATACTAACCATTTAATGTGAAATGACACTTATTAAATGGTTACTTATACTAACCAATTATTAAATGGTTAGTTATACTAACCATTTAATGTGAAATGACACTTATAGATACATTTTTCGATTGTTCATAATTCAAACTGATTTAGACGTCTCATTGCACACGTACCTAAGCTTCATGTCTTGTTAAATCGGTCATCTAGTACACATTTTGTTAAAGCGAAAACATCAATTTTTACAAAAAAAAAGCACCATATTGCTGTCAACTATTCGGTATCTGTTATTTCAACATCGATTGCTGTACCGCCCATGAACTCCCTATTCTCCGGGTGTACAGCAACTTTTAAATTAGTTAAAGCGAAAACATAAAATTTCACATTTAACAAAATATCTTGCTTGACATTTCATCATCGATTGCTGTACGGGCCGTGAACTTTGACTTAAAGATATTGAATTAATATGTATGTACATACAGGTATTATGCATAAACATTATTTTTAAAGGAAAACAAAGAAAACTTCAAAGACATTGACACATATTTTTTTCCTAAAAAATTGAAAAATCAATGAAAACTCAAGGTCAATTAAGGCTATTTACTTATTTGTAAAAATATTGCCTTAATTAAAAAGGTTATAAAACGAACTTACCTGGTATTGTTCTCATCACATATATTTGTACATAAATTGTTATACACTTCTGGACACATCTATTGGCCCACCTTAGAGTTTAGGTTTCGATGGCCCCTACCGAAATATGATTGCTAGATTGAACAAAAACTGTTGATGCAGTTTTAAACCTGATACATTTTACCATCTTTTTCGATCGTATTGTTTTAAATTTGAATTCAGAATACCATACGACATGGAGCTACGCCTAACAAGTCGGATATGCGCCTTGTTAAAGGCAATTGTTTAGTCCAAACAAAACATTTCCTTACGTGGCAATTTATAATTTTATGTATTATTAAGTAAATATGTAATTGTATTAGCGTAAGCAAATCAGTTCACGTTCGGACGTCATATGTACCGCGTGTGCTAATAAACATAACAGTTTCAACATAATCGGTGTTATCAATTTATCGCCAAACTATCATTTAACATCATCATCTCGAAAGGTGTAGAGGAAACTCAACAGCAATTGATTTTTGATTAAAAAACATGTTTTATCAAATAAAGGTTTAATTTAATAACGCGTGTTGCCTCCATGGGCATCTACCACAGCTCTCATACGATTAGGCATAGAGTTTATCAACCGCTCTATGAAATTTTGAGGGATCATCTCCCATTCCTCTTCTATGGCAGTTTTCAACTCCTGCATCGTCTGGGCAACTGGCTGACGAGCCCTAACACGTCTTTTTAGCTCGTCCCACATGTGCTCAATGGGGTTCATGTCTGGGCTTCTGGCTGGCCAGTCCATAACTGTGATGTTCACATCCCGAAGATATTCCCTGACGATGCCGGCCGCATGGGCTCTTGCATTATCATGCATAAAAAGGAAATTTGGGCATGGTAGTCCGCGTATGGTATCACGTGAGGTTCTAAGCACTCACGAATGTACCTTTCAGCATTTAATGTTGGCAGCCGTGGTCCTGTAACAACCTCAAGTTGAGTTTTGCCGCTCGCGGATATACCGCCCCAGACAGTCCATGAGCTACCTCCATAAGCAACCCTCTCTTCAAAGCAGCATTGTGCGAAACGCTCTCCCTTACGTCGGTAGACCTTCTTCCTTCCATCATTGCCATGTAACACAATTTTAGACTCATCAGAAAAAAGTACACGGCTCCAATCTTGCTGTGTCCAATTTAAATGACTGCGTGCGAAATGAAGGCGCGCTGTTCGGTGGGCTCGCGTTAGTTTGGGCCCATTAGCTGGATTGTGTGGTACCATATCGCGTTCTTTTAACCTTCTCCGAACAGTTCGAGCGCTCACAGATACTCCGTGGAAGTCGCGAATTTGTTTTTGTATCTCAATGGAGGTAAGGTGACGATTTCTCAAGCTGGTCGTCACTATGAATCGATCCTGCCTTTCAGTTGTGACCCGAGATCGTGGCCTTCCTTGGCGACGAACAAAGCCGCCAGTCTCTAGGTACCTCCGATAAACATTCCGGACCGCAGATCGACTTAAATTAAGTTGAGCACTCACGTTTCTTTGGCTGTGTCCAGCCTGAATAAGTGCCACAGCTTGGGCGGCGACTTCAGGTGAAATATCCATAGATTATTGATAGAACCTCACCTTAATGTTAAAAATAAGTAATGTTTGTTGCAAAACCAAAGATATCAATCACTTTTTCAAGAATTAAATCCAAGTAAACCAAAAAAAACAAGTTTTCATAGTATTCGATAGTTTGATATCAACAAACAGGCTCCCAATTGTCTTTTGTTACTTTAAATTCTGTGTTCGAAATTCAAAAAAAGACTATTGAATGAAATTGTGAATGTGCCAGGTTCAAAACTGCATAAAAACTTTTTGCTCGACCTAATATAAAATTTTAGCTAGGAATAAAACGAAACTGAAAATACAAGGTGGGCCAATAGATGTGTCCAGAAGGTATATCTCTTAAAATTAATTTTACGATATCATTTTTATATACCTAAAATGATCTACAGTTTTTTGCGTTTGTTATTTATTTGTGTTTATTTTGCCCTTTTTTTCGAAATGATAGTGAAGTGTGAATCTGACTGGCTATAATTGTTTTTTTTCGTATTAATTTAATATGCAAGTGAATTATGTATAATTATGTTTCTTTTGATGTTTATTATTTTAGTATCCTCATTTTTGTGTAGGTGTGCGGATATTATAATGAAACAGCGAGTTAATTTATTTATAGTGTGCTATTTATTTTTGTTTTGGTCCTCTTAAATTGTGGTGCATGACCACATTTCGCTTTAGTCACAATAGGGTATTTTCCAAATTTTTGATAACTGCTTATATTTAAAGATAGGGACAAACGATTTAACAGAAAAATAAAAATAAGTTGATAAGTATTTTTTTCTCCATTAGACCAATTAAATGAATTTATTTTTAATGGTTTTAAATTTATCGCCAAAACGCTCGGTTCGATAACATTTGCTGCGTGACGTCAGCTTTATGTATGCTATATCATCTGAAGGTCAAATTATTAACTTTTTTTTACGTTCGGGATATAGTATAATACTTTGCAAATTTCTTCGCTATTAATCCTGATTTCTGTGCTACAGAGTTTCGAAACATCAAAAATGTTGTGTAAGAATTATACTATTTTATCCCGAACGTAAAAAAGTTAATAATTTGATCTTCAGATGATTACCAAAGCATACACAAAGTTGACGTCACACAGTAGACGTCATCGAACCAAGAGTTCTGGTGGTAAATTCAAAACCATTAAAAATAAATTCAACTTTAATTGGTTTAATGGAAAAAAAGAAATTAATTAATTTATTTTTATTTTTCTGATAAATCGTTTGTCCCTATCTTTAAATATAAGAAGTTTTAAAAAAGTTGGTAATTAGACTATTGGATATCCAAACACGCTGAATGTGCACTCAATATAATAATATTACATATACTCTGTGTTATGAAGATAAAAAACAATGCCTTCGCTGCTTTTATAAAGAACACAAATAGTTTAAGATCAAATAACTAATTCATCGCAACACTTTCATTCGTAAAACTATTAAAACATTTTTGTCTCAAAAATCATGGTAGGTCATGAATGTTATTTACTTTTTCGCCATTTGTTGTCAAGAAAAGGACAAAAATCCAGCTCAGGCGTTTGTAGAGAGAAAAAAGAAAACGCACTCGCCAAGCCAAGCGACGCGCACTCGCCGTTTAGCTCGCGCTGCGTTGAAGCGTAGGTATATAGTACCGTTAGCACGAACCAATATTGAATTCGTAACGTTTGCGAGTCCGAAATGTTATTTTCAAATGTGTACAGATTGAATTTAGTTCTCGTTACGTACTTTATGGCGCTGCTGTTGAAGTTTCCATACAAAATTTGACAATGATATTTCGCACTCGCAAACTATTCGAATTCGATAATGTTTGGTGCTAGGGGTACTGTACCACTTGAACAACAGCGCCATAACGAGAACGTAAGAGAAAAAGAAAAACTTAGGAAATTTTACAAATTGAATTCATTCATATATATCTATATCACGTGTTTGTTCATAATAGCTTAATTATCGTATTTCAATATATCTTTTTTGTTACCGTTCATGTCAGACGTGTCAGACAGAGTGTACACTAGAGATGAACGTTTTGCTATGACGATGCATTTTAGAAATTTCGGAGCTAATTGACATTTCGGTTTGCAAGCTATTCGAATTCGATAATGGTTCGTGCTGTACTGTACCCCTAGTACAGTTCTGTCTCTCTCGCTCCATTGAATGTTTATTTACAGAAGTGTGCGTGCGTGAGAGTTGCTTATGTAGTCGATTGCCCATTGCGCATAGGTGCGACTGCGCGTTTTGTTCAGCGCTTGAGTTACGTGCTGTATTACCTGTACTTGCATGGATACACGTGCTCCGTGCCATAAAGGTAGTACCTCCCTTGAACAAAAAGTCCCTTGAATAACCCCAAGAGACCGGACTGGACAAGAGTAAGGGGCCGGGGGGTATCCCCAAAAAATTAAAGTCATGTGACTGGGCACAGCAACGCACACAGCAAACTTTAGTCCGAGTTGCGCGCTCAATCTGATTTAAATAGTTGAATCTAGTATTCTCTTTTAAAACATCTTTTCTTTTTGTTAAACTTCATGTTAATTGCAACACAACATAAACTGAGAATATTTCGGGCAACAAATATTCGCACACCGTGTGCATTGAGTCCGTGACAAATCCTCGGCGGTCATTTTTTCTCGATTGAGGGACATTTGTCCTCAGCCGACAAAAGAGCCTCGTCTGCGCAGGCCATTATTTTAATACCAATATCTCAGCTTTTCAGTGTAATAAAAAAAGACATGTGATATTTCAGTTTTAATAGCAATAATTTTATAATCAAAGTTTCATCAATCATGATTGTATATCTGGGTCTCCACTCACGGCACATAATGCTCTATGGGTGCGGTCACCACATTGAGTGCCTTGAGGACAATTGGAACATGTTGTCCCAGCTTCATAGATTGGAAATCCATCAATGTTACCAGCTGGCCCATAGTTACATATTGTAAATGCTACTATTTTAGGCTCCCGCCGTGATTTTTGTTTATTTTTACTCTTCAAAATACCACGATGCAATGGTGAGTCCAAATTCGAGCTTAACGTCGTGCCACCAAAATTTTCGAATCCCGTCGAAGTTGCTACAGTCATATATTTTGTGCGTCTCAAAACATTTTCTTTGGTTGTAGATCTGCTTACGTTTTCTGCCGGTACTTCGGTAGATTCCTCTTGAAAAACCGTTCGTCGTTTTCGGTATAAAATACATGACCGTTTTTTCACGGTACAAAGAGCTTGGGAGCACCCCATTCGCCAAGTTGAGGCCCAAGCTGCTGCAGAATACCAGTGCGCATTACAACCTCCTGGGGCGCTGCAGTTTCCGAGTCTAAAAGACCATACGTGTCCTGGAGGTAACACCCTTGAACCTGAATACCATGCGCCAACTGCATCCGCTAACAATTGTGCTTCAGTTACCCTCGGAACCACAGGTCGTACATCCATATTTTGAAGAACATTAAATCGAATCGTGTTTCTGCATTCATCATGTCGTTTCTGACACTGTCTAGCCCAAACCTCTGCCATTTCTTCAAGCTCGTAATCCCAATACATTTTCCTCATATTAGCGGCAGGTGGTTGACCGGCTTCTAATCCCATAGCGATATTATCTCTGTGCCTATTATGTAACAGTAGGATTTGGTATCTCATCCATGTTGTCATCCCAGACGCATAAAGTCTCGGACTTTGTTTATTGGCGGCTATACATAGGGTATGCTGATTTTCCAAAGAACAGTCGGGATGCGTACAATATTCTTGATAATTCCTTATCGTGATATTTAATTCACTGAATACAAAGGTAAAACTACTAAAAACTATGTAAAATAATGAAACCATGCACATTGTCCAAAATTTCTGCTAGAAAATTATACAAACATAATTTTCTTCTTCCGTTTGACACTTGACATAAAGTATCATGGATCTAGGTTCTTGCCATTGGTTTTTACTACAATACCCTTTGTTCTACTATCAATGATTAGTTGAGCATTGTCTAGATTTGCAGACAAACCAGAAAGTAACCTGTGATGCCTCTCTGAATGATACCTTGATTGATGACTTTTGAGCAGTCATGCTTCTGTCAACGGGATGCAAAAAATGTTTTTATATTAAGTAATTTATGATTTGGTTACATTTATCTGATCAACATATGGTGTGTTTTCTAAATTTTGATCATCAATATTTATTTCTTTGTTTCAAGACAATAAAATGATAACAAGGGTAGTGCAAATGTGTTTACGAGGGTTGTCCTTGGCACTCGTGGTACTTGGTTTGGTTTACAGCACAGAATGTGATAGCTTGACTGCTTTCGATAATTTTATTTTGATTGGTATATACGGAGGGCACGTAGTCATCACTTTTGGATTACTTCTTGAAGCGGGCCTCGGCGTTGATTCAAACAAATTCGTGGAATGTCTTCTACTTGGCAATGCGCTAACTACAAACCTTCTCTGTTCTATTATGGCTTTCTACCAGTTTTATCAAGAAGGAACATATAAAAATGAAGCTTTGAATAAAGGAGCTTTTTCCGTGTTAGCCTGTATGGTGTATGGGGTCGACATTATCATTCTTTTTCGGTAATAAACTAAGGTCAAAGTTTAATAGCTTTATTCTTGCTTTATATTATTAAGATTTAGGGCGTGCGCTGCCTTAAGCGGGAGCACGGTACCCGCTGAACCCGTCGTGGGACGCGCGGGAGGCGGGTGCCTTTCGCAACGCCGCCAGTACAATTTCGATACTGCGGGTGAATAGTCGGTAGTGGATTATTTTTGTTGATAATATACCTAATTATAAGAGAACGCAGACAAGATCACAGAAGACTGCCAATCGAGGGTACAACGTCACCCGCGGGCGTGAGGCGGGTTCCGCCGCGATGAAACAAACACGCCGAGCGGACACGCGCTCCGTGCCCCGCTTAGGGCCGAAACGCAAATAAAATTTTCGCCTACTTTAGAATGAGCTATTAAGAGGTTTATCAATATTTTATATATACAGAGAAAAAAATTAAAAGAAGGAAACCTGTTACTGATTTGGAAATGCGGGGCTTGACTGTAAGGTCGATATCAACATCAGACATTTTAATTTTTAAACTGCTTCCAGGTTGACTCTTGTTGTTGCAAGAGAGATAGAAAAAAACTAAATCGGGGTGCGGTGCCGCGCCGCAAAAATCGGCGCTGACGCCACTGCCAATTTTAGCGGCGCGGCGCCGCAACGCTGTTATGTGTTTAAGGCCTTAACTCAGCGCTCGCTCTTACTTTACTGTCTGTCCACTGTCATCCGTAATAGTCCTTACTCACATACGTATCGTATCGTAGTACTCGATAGTTTTACTCTAAAGAGTTAGTAGTTATCAGTTTATCAGGTTTTGAGTTGAAAGCTCAACCTTATTTTCTTCCCTATTATGAAAGGTTTTCTTAAAACACCTTAAACCATAACTAGCTATATATTATTGCCATTGCTGGGTTGTTTGCCTTTCCTAAAGAGAAAAAAAATATTTTGATGTGTACTTATAATAAGATCGGTCAATAAATTGTGGCTCCCCCACACCAACCCAGGGAGAATAGGTGGAGTGTTAAATACTTAAGCTCATAAAGCAAAGGAGTAGCTTGAGATAAATATTTATAGTCAGCCATCTGAAAGCAAAGCTTATGTCCTGGTGTCTACGCTCCTCGGCTAAATGTTGATTGATAAATTATAATTTATGAAATATTGAAAGATTGAGTATTTAATAGATGGTAAGAGTGTCTGCAAAATAAGCCAATAATACGCCTGGTAGTGAGCGCTATCCTTTAAATGGGTATCTTTATACTTTGTCATGACAGATTTTTCTTCATATGATGAATGAGGCTAAAGGTACAGCCGCTCATGTTCTTCGAAAATAAAATCGATTAATCGAACTCCGGGACGTATCTTGGCTTTTACCATCTAGTTGACGCAGATGTGGAGGTTCTTTATAGAGCGGATAAGCTAGGGTGACGGCATGCAATGCTGCTACGTGAATTTTAGAGCACACATTAAAAAATGGTTAGTTTAGAATCTGAAGTTCAAAAAGCTGACACAATATAACATTTCTCTTATTTCAGTATTCAGTACGTTAATATTTGGCAAAATGTTTTTTATTTAATACTACATGACCCAGCCAACTTCGTACTTCCAAAATCGTGAATATTTTCGAAATACCTTGAAGACTTAATATTATATTTATGCTTAGCTCGGCTTCACAAAGGTGGTGTACAGTCGCGGACTAAGGCAAAGTAACAGTTACGGTAATGGTTAAAAAAAAACTTTTAATGTTATTTTATGCAAAACTTGTCCTAACAATACATACCTAATACAACAAAAAATCATTTAGTAAAGGAGAATGCCCATTTTGCTTTTCTAAGCATCTCATGCCGCAATACCATCCACAGATTTAACACACATAATGTATCTGATATTATACGCTATACATGCGATATACGTGCAATTATAACATTTATACTTCTACTATGATCATAAATCTATGACAGTGTAATAAATAATTAAACTATTGTACTAGTAGTGATAAATCGGAAAAGATGAATATCGATTCATTAATATTTTTTTAGAAAACTGGCAATATCATTTCCAGTGGGGTCTGTCAAATTGATTTGTTTTCACTGATATCTCTATCTAATTTCGTTCAGTTTATTTGGTAAATATTTCAGTGTTTATAATTATTTTCTTTCTATTTCCTTTAAGCTGAGTTGATCTTTGATTTGATCTAACCTTTTTATAGATAGTAAACTTGAAAAAGTGAAGAGAAGAATTATTAATACATTGACATTTGTTATATCGTTATTCGTATTACCCGTCGAGCTAGAGAAAAAGTATATTTCATTATTGAATCTACACATAGGGCCCTACAAAATAAGTAAAAAAACCATCATTACATACTACTATCCATAATACGATGGGCATTCTCCTTTGCTGCAGTCTTGCGAAAGTTATTTTTTTTATTTTTAAACCTACCTAATGAAGATTACCTAAATCAATCAAATAGTGATAAAAGTCAGTTAAAGTGTGAAAGTCAGTTAGGTTTGCCCTGAATTCTTATTAAAAAAAACTCGTAAAACATAAGTATGCGATAAATTATCAAACATTATCTTAGCCCACGAGATAAGTGTTGAGTGATAAAAGCAAAGTAACGAACATATTGTTATCTATAGCTGGTACAGACTAATCATAGCCCGCTCCTTATTCGTGTCGTTGTGTTTACTTTTATTCAAGTGACGTTAGCCATTTGTTCCGTAATTTCTTGAAACGTATTACGTTCATAACAATAACAATTATGGTGTCGATATTACTAACGTATCGTACGTTTGTAATGTGCACAGGTGTAATAACAGAATGATATTTTTGTTGTTCGGTCGCGAGACGAATGAAATTCGACGATTAATCTTACTTACCTACACTAAACATTTGATTAGTAAAATTGTCACGTAGAACGCCCGTAACTGATAACGTTTTATTTGAAAAAGCGGTGTGGTTTATGTTATTAATACTTTATAAAAAGAATCAAAGTGCAAGTGTATTTAAAGTGTCACAATCATGGAAAAAGTTCGACAAAAACCGAAAAAGGATCTCGCCAAAGATAAATCTAGTATTTTTACTACCGACATCAAGTCTATGAAGGAGCACATTAAAATAAAGGAAATATTAAGAAATGTCAAAATGAACAGTAGTATGAGACTAAAAGCACCGAAAGGCAGTAAGATTATGGAAAATAAAGATTTTAACGACGACTTTGACGAAAATCCTAACAATGAGGAGACTCCTGCGAGCGCGACTAATACGGAAATGTTGAATTTAGCCTCTGAAAATTTAAATGAAAAATGCGTTGATGATAGTGAATGTCTTCGAAATGGTAACGTTGTTGACAAAGCAGGCTGTACTAAAGAAACAAAAGATATAATTAGAAGGAAATTTACTGCTGATATTCCAGAAATTATAGTTTGTGAGCAGTCTGAAAACGATAGCATCTCTCAGCCAGAAGTCATAGCAGTTCCTATAGAAAATGAACACAGCAAAATGTCACATGATCATTTGAATCGACAAGTATCTATGAATACAGCATCACTTAATGAAAAATTACATCACATACAAACGAGAGAAAGAAAACTATCTCTTGATCAAACGATGTTAAACAGACGAGAAAGTTTTTCTCAGTCGGAACTGGATCTACATTCCATTGGAAAATCCCCATTAGAACGAAAATCTTCATTTTTTCGGAAAAAGTTAGATAACTTTTTTAAAAATACTTCAGAAGTATTCAAGCGGCAATCTTTAGGAAGCAAATCTGAATTACGTCGCAGAAGTTCACTGTCTATGTCATTGCAATCTCTTAATGAAGATTCCAAGAACAACAGCAGCCCTGCTGCTAGTGAAAAGGTAATTACTTCACTTAACAATAATGTAACGCGGAATAACCAAAAAGTTATCCTCTTACCAAAACACCTATCTCATCCTGAACGTAACTGACATTCGAGTTATTATTCTGAGTTCGAACCCATAATCTTATTCCATAGTTTTATTAGTTTAATCAGCATTAATACCACTTCCAATGTTAACATGCAAAAAAGTATTTTATAAAGGTAATTTGATCGTGATGCAGCCGAATTGAGGTGCCTTTTAAGATAATTTTTTTATTAATATTTTTTTGCTTTTAATAAATTATAAAATTCTTATGCTTCTAAATTATACAAAATAAAAAAACAGTACGTAATTATTTTATGAATAAGGACATCAAAGGACCGCTATGTATTAAGAATTTATTACTCACTGTTTAACCTTGAATCATCATCAGTATCATACCAAAAATCGTATTGTTATCCAAATGATTACGTATCTAATGGCACTTTATTTACTTAATAATATCTTATTGATAATAGTTTATCAAATGTTAAGAAAAATACTTTGCTTACATGTGAAAAAAACTTTTTTTAGAAAAATAAAATAAACGAAAGCGCAAATAATTCAGACAATGCTGACATCTTTTTACTTACATTCAAAGTAATATATCAATATTTTGTGTTGAAGTCATGTCAACTAACATAAATAGACCTGAGTTGCCGTTGACTACTTGTTTTAACTGCACCAACTCCAAAATTGCTAAAAGATAATGTATATTTTAATTCTTGTTAAAGTGATTTATTATTTTATGATCAGATTTAATAATCAAACTCCAGTAAAAGGTAAGGATAATCTGATTCTGTTATTTAGCAACTGGTGTTATTATAATATAATAGTTTTAATATAAAATATATAAAAAAAAACTTGGTTTGTTACCAATAGGCCTACTTTTACTGGAGTTTAATTATTATTGAAACTGGCCATTATTTCAAATTTGATAAAACTTAAGTTAATTACTCTTCATTTATCATCATCATCATTAGACAAGACGCTCCATCATCCCTGGTATGCATTTCTCTCCTTAAGATCTCGGTGAAATGGTTCACCTTGTCCTTCACTTACATTTCCTACATTTTCTGGAAACTAGTCGAGGTAGGAATGAAAAGAAAATATTCTTTAAAACTTATTATGCAGCATGAAGCTTAAAATGCTTTTAATATTTTTTTGGACCTTTACTTATATTAGTTGGGGTCTTTTTTACTGCCGAATAATTTCTCTATGGCCTCTGTAAAGCCAATCCACCCTACTCTTTGGGATCCGCCATGGTTATGATGATTTGTGGATCAGTCGTAAGCCATCTAATATCTTATCCAACGAAAACACCTTTGTCAACTTTGCCCCTTAGAAGTCTAAAAATATTGATAACAGAAACTGTCAGATGAATTCACAAACTTCCGTACAGAAGGCATTGTACTAGTATATTGAACCAATATCTATAAAACAACTAGCTGACTCGGCGAACTTCGTACCGCCCAAAAGTAATAATTTGCAATAAATTAAAATTGCGACTATAATTTGAGATTTAAACTATCCTATCTCTCAAGTTGGATCGAACTGCACATGGTGTGCGAATTTTATTATAATCGGTTCAGTGGTTTAGGAGTCCATTGAGGACAAACATTGTGACACGAGATTTATATATATTAAGATCTACCCCGTAACTTTCTATACTATTGGAGCGCGCACTTATGAGTTCTATTAAATACTATTTTATTCGTATTTTTTTGCGTTTTGCAAAATAACCTGACGTTCTGTTTTTTTTTCGTATTTTTTTTTGTGTTCACAAGACCTAAATACAAATAAATCAGTTGGAAACATCCAGACAGCATTTTTGTTGCAGAACTGATCACAATCAGTCAACGTTTGTTATTAAACAGGCAAGAGATTTAAGTGCATACTTAAAGCACGATCTAAATTAGGTCTGGCATATTTTAAGGATTTCCCTATTACTTTACCAATGTTATTTACCTATACAATGCCAAGAAATTGAAAGTTTCAGTTACATTTACGATTTTAAAAGTGATTTCAAATATCAAACAACTTTTCCAATTTTCTCTAGATGATAGATGATCTATTGCATTGAAAATAACGGTAAATTTTCTAAAACCTTTCATACATGGGCAAGTGGGCCCGGAATCAATATGTTCGATCGTATTTTCAGAAACCATAGCAGTCACTAAAATCTGTTTATATTACTTTCTGAGATTGTCCGCATTCAATTTGTCTTGTCTTCATTGTTTCCGCATTAATGCTTAGCTACACTGAAAATTTAAAGGAGCAACATTATTTTAAAATTCGAGTGACTTACTTAGAAGAAAAAACGCTCAAAAAACTCAAAAACACACGCCTTTAAAATAGTTCTTTACTCCCATAGTAAACAGGCTTCTATTCGGATACCCATCTATGAACAGTGATTGCTAATGTTGCTTTATTTCCATTCACACACTGAACGAGCTAGCTACTGTGCCATCTGAACTGTTTTGTGTCCATGTCAGATACAAAACATAGTCACACAAAGGGCAGCACACATTGTTTGTTTCCTAATAATGATCTAAGAGGAGCAGGTTTACTAATAAGGCTTTATCATTGATAAAAATCTGAAAGTCGCTAGTGACGGCTCCTGCTGGCCTCGAAAATAATTACCTAACTTCATCATTTTCATCATCATCACACTAAATATATAGTTGTGAAAGAATTCTGTTTGAAACTGTGTGAGTATGGCTGTATACGTAGCGGCAAGGTGTACTTGACAGAAATGGCACTTATTAGAGCGGCCATAGAAGGACTCGATCGATCAGCTAGCCAGTGATCAACATACACGGACTACTCGAGCAGTCAGTGTCAACAGCTTCAAGGTTTCAATTCACCGAGCTCTCAATTTCATGTGTATGTTTGTACATTTGTACATAGAAAACTGTATTTCACTATGCAGTTGTAGCTTGAAGCAATCCATCTTGACTGCTTCAAGCTACCCGTGTATGGCGGTTCTTACTACTCACTCGTCCTAATGCATCATCGTCAAAAGTTAAAACATGTGTGATGACATCGATTGAAAACTATTATATTCGTTTTCTTTACATTCAATTTTAAGCTATACTCCATACAATTATATTTTACCAGTTTTTGCAAATCAGAGATTTCCACAGCATGTGCTGCGTAAACAAGCATCTACTTACGCATTGGCGAACTTTATTAGCTTTCTTTATTTATTTTTAGTTGCAAAAAAGTAACTGCAGTCTACAGTCATCGTCGACTATAGGTTGTAGTAACTCAAGTCTCCAAAGCCAAGGCGAATCTGTGCCACAGGTCCAAAGTGAACAGGAGGGTTTGGACAACAGCCAGCCAGCACTCAGCACAAGTCAACCTTTGACGGATTTGTCCTTGGAAAGTATAGATGGTAAGTAAATATGTATCTGGTCTTACCGGTTCATAGTAGAATAGACTAGAAGGGCAGTGTGCTTATCAAAGGGCCACCCTTACATTGGCATCCATTATTTTTATATATTAAGGTCTGAGCAAATACCACTACCCAACCTGATGTTAAGTGACCTTAGAATCTGGACGGGGACATAGGTGGTGCGTCAATTTTATATCTGCCGACTGGTTTTGGAACTACCAAAATACTGGGAATTGCACGCACCTAACCCTTACAGTTAGAGGAGCTCGATGACGCAACTGGTTAGCGCGTTCGGCTGCGATCGTTGAAGTTAAGCAACTTTCGCAGTGGTCGGTCATTGGATGGGTGACCAAAAATTTACTATCTCGAGCTCCTCCGTGCTTCGGAAGGCACGTTAAGCCGTTGGTACCGGTTGCATCTGCAGTCGTTAGCACCCACCAATCCGCACTGGCCCGCGTGGCTGTTCATGGCCCAATCTCCCTATTCCATCCATAGGGAAGGCCTGTGCCCCAGCAGTGAGGACATTAATAGGCTGATGATGATGATGATGATGATGAACCCTTACAACTTATACAGTCTTCCTTGGAGCTGATGATAGTTAAAAATCGAAATAATGAAATGTTTTAATAAAAATGTTAATGGAAAATTATTATTACTAACATATTGCTATATAATATATATATTTATAGCACTAAGCAAACACGGCGGTTACGTACTTTGTGTTTATAGGATCAGACGGAGAACGGCATGTGTAATGTTTGATATGGCGGTCAACAGTAATAAATGTTTCATTAGTATCAGTAATAAAGATTTAATTAAAATGGATATAAGTGTTGGTGAGCGTATCACTACACTGATAACGGATAACTTAATTTGGACACTAGTTTTTTTTTGCAAATAGGTGTAAGTAATTTTGCGTATAATGCGTACTTTGTATTGTTCTTTGCCCTCGAATTGTGTGAATAATTGGATTCTACGAGTACGTACCAGTAACAAATTTATTCTTCAAGTATGTCGGAACTCGGATTCGAGTTAGCAAGTCAATTGTTTCGCTCTCTGCCCGGACGGACGTAACAACCACATAGCAGCTGTGTACACACTGATTGAAAAATCAAAACAGCTTCGCTTTTTTCACGTAAATTAGTTTTTACCTGTGACTTTACACTATTAGGTAACTACTTTTAAAATGTATTCCAGTGAGCAATCATATATTTGCGTGAGTTAGTACATCGCTCCGTACATCCGGTCGTATAAGTAATTGCTAATTTTCCAGGAGAGCAGTTGAAGGATTAGAAAATATTTTTCCATTAACATATTGTATTGTTCTACTCTAATGCTTACAAAATACTACAGACCTTAACTTTAAGAAAAAAAATGTGGTAAAGCAAAATAAAAAACTTTTAGTATTTACTATATAAATTAATTTTAATACCCTTATATACCCTACAAATGTGTGGTTACTCCACCAAAAATCTGGAATAATGAACACAAAATCCAAAATCAAAGAAAAACAAAATTAATGCAGAGAAATAAACGCAGAAGAAGCGGCTATGCTGTTTATGGTCCAAAACCTGTAAAATATCTAAAATATTATCACAATATCCTGCATATAATTCAAAAAAGACATATTTTATTGTATAATAAATAATATTTTTGAGCTAGAAATTAATGATACAAAAATGCGAAAAACTTGTGGGAAATTCAAATATTTGAAATACGACAAGAGCGGTTGTGACTTTAAAATATAACAACAAACAAACTTGATGTTCACAGGATATGCCAATCTCAACGAGATTATAGTGCGAGTGCGTAGATGTTAATGCCGCGTTCCACCTAGAAACCGAATGCAATTTTTCATTAGACATTTATTTTTTTTAATATCACGCTTACAACTGCATCAAGTTATGCACGCGACGGAATATAAGTACCGCGTAAAAAAAGTCCCCCGAACAACCCAGGACACTGCAAGAACGTCGGGAGTCCCTAAAAAAAAGAACGTATGTGAAAAGGCGCAGCAACGCACACAGTGAACTATAGAGTCGACGTTGCGCTCTCGATTAGATTGAAAGAGATGGACCCATGTTAATAACAATACAACGTAATCTGAGAATATGGACGCTCTCTGAATTTTCGGGCAAAAAATGTTTGCTTACCATGTTACATGAGTCTGTGAAAGTCCTCGGCGACATTTCTTTTTATTGAGGGGCTTTTGTCCACCATGGTCAAAAGTTCTTCACGTGCGCATGTTGATGTATATCTCCGACAAGGGATAAATTTTGTTTCGGACGAACAACAACACTTGTGCGATCTAGCACGATCTATTGGCAAACGATTATGTATTTATTCCTCCAGGTTCACATATGCTTTAGGTATTGTATGACACAATAACTCAATTTTGAAAAAAAAAATACAATTATTGTGATGTTTTTCCTCCGGATGAGCGACATTTACTAAAAGAGGTAATATATATTATGTCAATTTGTAATTCACTTTTATTTGATTTTTCGCGCACCGTAATAGGTTCAGCCTCGCTAATATACTTTTATCAGAGACCTTAATAGAACTTAACTGAAAACAAACTTTAAGTAGTAACAACAAAGTAACAGCGATCAAAATTTTATCGTTGGCCGTAGGTAGTTCTACGAGTTTCAGCTTCATCTAAATGAAAATTACATTTACAAATTTTAAACAATACATACTTTCGACATATGGTCATACATTGGTCTATATTGACTAGACATGAATGAATGATACTAAGATATTTTTAAAATTTTGTTGTCCATAATAATTGCTAGTATCTAACTACCATATACAATTTTATACACAGTTACTTTGTGAAGTTGCTCCAGCCAGCTTTCGGTTCGTTTGTTAGTGTAACTTCAAAAACTTGTGTCGGAGAAAATAATCAAAACTTTTTCGTAGTAATTAATTTTCCCTATTTTCATATAAACTGCTTTTAGTATTGTAGTTTTTTACAGCTAGATGCACACGTTAGTTCCATTCCACTGCATGATTCTCTTTGAGTGCGCGACGAAAGAAACCTTTTGTCATCCGTGGACGTTTTAAGGCCTTTCGGGAATTTATGTACTTACTTAAATAGATTCACTTTCGAATTTGTTCTTTTTTTGCTTTTTCTATGAAAGCTAAACGTACAGTTTTTATAGATTTAATTCTTTTCCTCTCAGGTTGTTTTTTTTTCTTTGTAATAAAGAGGGTTAGCTCTCTCGATGATAGTGATCGAGGTGATCGATCACAATTACCTATTTACATAAGTGCATTGCTATTATAATATAAAGAAAAAAAAACTAACCTTCTTGTATATCTTGGAGATACCAACCAGGTTTATTAATCAACTTTTCAAAGATTTTTCAAGATTTCTTCTTGTTATAACTTAGAAACAAAACTTCAATCACTTCACTGACTTGTGTTGTGTGTGTGTCGTATATGTGTTTATTTAATGTTAGCTTGTATTTTCATAAAGAATGCTTACTTCTGCTCAGCCTTGGTTGTTTTTTTACTGCAGGTCTGTCTGAGGAGTATATTCAGGATGCCATGCTAAATTCCCGGGCGATATCAATGAGCTCAGGTCTAGATACGGCAACTGGCACAAGGAGGCGGAAAGCTTTGCGATCTAACAGGTAAGTTTATTAGTATACCTGCATTTACTAATTTTCTACAAAAGAGGTTCATCTTCTAACATTTTCCGTTGAAATGTATGTGAATAAAATACCGTATCGTGAACAAATGTTTTGTTTCGTAATATATTTAGTCAGTGTATATAAAAGGTGAATTACAAATCGTCGTTGCGACTTTAAGACCTCCCATGTGTAAAATTCTTCATTGCGAGATATTCAATAAAAACTGTCTACTGAAAAAAATATAAGGAAACTAAATATAACAAAAAATACAGGTGATAACTAGAGGGTTTTATGATTTTTATTTTGCTCTTGTCATTTTAAATAAAAAAGGAAATTGTAGTAAAAAAATAAAAAAACAATTCAATGTGACACATAAGAGGTTTTGGTTGCGTGTTTTGTATCACATTAGAGAATATAAATATGTAAAAGAGATTGAGATTGAAAACACAAGACTTTTAATTAAACAAGTTATTTGTTTTTAAACTTTATCATGGCAATGACAATAGTATATAATAGTGGTTTTATGTATTGCTCAATAGTGGAGTGAGCACTGTCCACCTCCATCATGGTGTGCCCTTTTTTATGTTTAATAGGCAAGGCGTTTGAGCAAAATCTCGCCTGATGGAAAGCAATGATGAGGCCTAGGATGGTACACGCCTGCCTAGAAGATGCCTGTTCACTCTGGCCTTGAAGATTTTCAGATTATATTGGTCCGAGAGGAGTTCCACTCCCTAGCCGTTCGCATAATGAAAGCGGAAGTAAATCGCTTCGTGCGAATGGGAGGAACTTGGACAACATAAGGGTGAAAGCCCTCGCCGCGCCTGGTCGTCCGGTGGTGGAAAGGGGAAGGGGGAATCAAATAGTGTAGTACCTCCACACACTCCCCGAAATGTAACCGATAAAACACCGAGAGGCAAGTTACACGTCTTCGGTGGTCAAAGCTCTGGAGATTAGCCTCAGCGAGAGCGTCATTGCCTATGAGTCTCTTCGCACGGTGTTCCACCGAGTCCAGTGCATCCAGCTGATACCGAGCAGATCCATCCCAAAGGCGACAACAGTACTCCAAGCAGGAGCGAACTTGGGCTCAGTAAAGGTTAAGGAGCTGCTCAGATGGAAAATATCGCTTGATCTTTGAAAGTATTCCAAGTTGTTTGGCAGCGGTTTTAGCAATGGACTCGATGTAGCGACCGAAATTGAGGCTAAATGAGATATCCAGACCTAAGAGCTCGAGATGGTCTGTAACCGGCACGGAGATATTTCGGAAAGTCGGTGTTAGATGGAATGGACTCCGTTTCGCCGAGAAGAGACAGGCTTGTGTTTTAGAGGGATTGAACCCAACCAAGTTGGCTTCACCCCAGAGGGAAACAGATTCCAGGGTTGCATTCATTTCCTCCACCATCGTCTCCCTTAAAGATTGGACGTCTGCATCAGACTTCACATCAGGCAGGTATCTCTCCGAGACTGTGCTGTCGTCTGCATACCCAAAGATACCGCGAGTAAGGATAAGATCATTGATTTCCTTTCTCTAAGAGTTGTTCGATATTCAATTGCCTTCGTTGCCAAATCATTTAGGGCACTCGACAAAATTCGGTTTCTGTTCTACAAACATAAAAATAATAATACACTCAATCGTAGTTGATAAATTTTGACAATGGTCTATTAAGCAAGATGTAAATTCATTAGCAGTTACATTACCGTCTGCTTCGTGCCAGCAGTAAATTGATACATTTTTAGATAAAACATCATAAACAGTGAAATTATGACATTGTAAATTCAGTTTATAGTACAGGGCACTAGCCAATAGCTTTGGAGCAAGCAATACACTTTCCACATCGACTGTTATAACCACAATTTAACCACAGAGCGAGAACCCGTCGAAGCTAACGTAATTTTTATATTACTACCCCCATCTAACACCTACAATCGAAAAATAATCACGCGATCTATGCATCCCTCTCATTCCAGTGCTTCTATTGGTTAGTTAGTTCGAAAATTTGACCAATAACAATTTTTACCTATCTAGCGCTTTTACACATAAGATATTTTAAATGCCAACTTTACTTGAGCAAGCACTTAGGATATATTGAATTAAGTAAATAAATATAAATTGAAAAGACTTACTTACATGAGAGTTCTTGCTTTCGATGTAGCACCAAAATTTGAAATAAACTCGTATAAAAAAGGTATTTCAACAAAAATGACACATAGGAGGTCTTGAAGTCGCAACGACGAAATATAAGTTTTTTATTAACAATAATAATTAAGAAGGTATTGTTACACTAGTCGTCAAAACGTTTACCAACCATAGGTTTTTCCTTAAACTAAACATATTTAGTAGTTAGACGACATCTTCATCATGGCAGAAACCCTGCAGGACCTACAACAGATGCTGAATGACCTGGCTGACTCTTCTATACGCATCGGCCTACGGATGAACTTCCAATCGGCGCGCTATGGAAAGGGCTATGCTCGGCGTTTCTCTGAAGGATCGCATCAGAAATGAGGTAATCCGACAGAGAACCAGAGTTATCGACATAGCCCACCGGATTAGCAAGTTGAACCGATAACCGTTGGGGTATACGAGTTCTGGAGTGGAGACCGCGTCTAGGCAAACGTAGTGTAGAACGTCCTCAGGCACGATGGAGTGACGATTTGCTCAAGGTGGCTGGCAGGCGCTGGATGCGAGTAGCCCAAGATCGATCTGAGTGGTGTGCATTTGGAGAGACCTATTTCCAGCAGTGGAATAAGATGAGCTGTTGATGAAACATATTTCTTTTCGTTGTTTTCGTTAGATTTAATAACATAGTATGTTAAATGCTTACAAATACCCTCCATTTACCCGAACTTAGTTCAATAAATTACAACGTTACCTATACTCGGTGTAATTGAAGTTCACTAATAGAATGTTCGGTCATGTGTCATGGCGTGAGCGCGCAAGTAAGTTGTTATATACCCGGATAAAACAATCTGTACAATCAGAGTTTACGAGAGAACAAGGAAGTTGGCTGACTTCCTTCACACTGTTGTGGTTAGTACGGTCGCAGTGTAACTCGCACTAGGAATATTTTATAAATAGCTGTACCATAATAATAGTATTCTGTGAGCTACGCGGTATAACTTCAGCAGGATGTTATAGCATTAATATTGCGCGATCGTGATATAGATAAACGCATCATCACCAGTATAAATATCTCACCTTACTTATATTAACTGGGGCGAGGGGAAATGATGAGTATAATCATTATGTATATTTTTCTCCCATATTGCTGCAACTTTAGTACTTTGTCTACTCGAAAGGTGGCATGAAAATATTCATCTATACTATAATATCATAAAGAGAAAAGAATTGATTATTTTTATTGAATAGTCTCTGAAACTAACAGTTTTGAAAAAACTTTCACATTTAGAATCCTACATTATATAGGTAACGTATATATATGATCAAACGAACTTCTATGTGAAGTTCGATCATTATTATTATGAATAGCTCCACATCAGATGCATCAACATCTGTAAAAATTTCTGGCGCGTATACATGAGGTGATACAGAAGTTTTAGAAACACTAAAATATTTCTTTTGCACCATTCCAAATCAGGTAAAATATTACTCGAAAGTGTTATAGATGCATCGTAGTTATTATTATACTTTTTAAGCGAGAGATATTTTTCTCTTTCCGAGGTTTTTGAATATAACCGACTATATTTTATAGCCGGACATGCAGCTGTCAGTACACCTATAAATTGGGAGAATTCTCGAATGGAGTATTTGTTAGACTTCTTATTTTTTTTAATTAAGTGTAATATATGATTTTTTTATTTTCTGGTAACGATATAGTCGTTTTCTGTGTCAAACACAAAACCTAAAAATTTACAAGTCTGTTTTGGTACTAACATAGATTTTCATAGTTTTTACAAAACCTAAGCATTCGGGATTCTGACAGATACTCTAACGTTATTTAAAACATTCATCGTATGAATTTCCTATACACAAGGTATCATCTAAATATATTCTGGAACAGTAACCACGTTTTCTTAGGTAACCCATTACAGCTTTCATTATTTTTGTACAGGTTCTGGGTATTGTCGATAAATCATATGACAGGGCATTAAATTCATTAGTAATTAAGTTTTGTGTATTATCTTCAATTTAAAATAAATAAGATTCTTTTAAATCTATAGAAGCTATAATGTTATTTTTTAATAAAAGTGTACATACGCTTCTATAATCTTCCATTTTAAAATGATCATTATATATAAATTTAGTAAAATACTTTAAATTTATAATAAATTGGTTTTTACCATTAGGCTTTGGAATCAGAAAAACAGGTGACAGGAATTGTGACGTATTATTTTCACATTCAGAAATACCGCCTAACTCAAGTAAATTATTTAATGTAGTATTAATTAAGTAGTATTCTTTGTTTCTCTGGACGAGATAACAAGGACTTGCTCGGTATGAGTGCGTGATATATTATGGTCTGTTAATGGTAAGCGAAAACCATTTTTGACATAATATAAAATGATTTTATTGTTGGTTATCTTAAACTAACATTCATAATAAGAATGTAAACGACCTGCATGTACCTAAACTAGTGTCGCGTTTGTGCATGCTGTTTGGGTATCGCAGCTGGTCTCATATATAGCTGCCTTGCCGGCGCTGGCGGCGGCGGTGCTTGAGGACGAAATTGTCGGCTCATCGCATTTTTACCCGTCAGTTAAGCTCCTCTGCCCCCTATGCTCGACGAAGAGGCATATCAAGGAGTGGGTGTCCAGTTTCCTGAATATCTTAGTTTTGGTTGGTTTTCGATTATTGTTCTGTGGAACGGTCACATTTTTATTTTATTTCCAACTTTGTTTCTCTATGGCTTTTGCAGCTTTTATCTTTTCTGAGAGTCTGTTGCCGAATAAAAATTCGTCTCTTTCTTCTTCTTGAATAATATTTAGTATAGATTTATCCAGACATGGTATAATGCATTTAGTGCAAATTTGTGTTTCTGTATAATGAAGGTCTGCCAAAACTCTACAACCTTCGGAGAGAAGTTTAATAACATCTACTTTTTCCCCATTGTTAAAAATCACCTGTTTAGCTATGGCAATTGCAGTAATACCTAATCATCGTAGTTGATTTTGTTTCATTTCTATCTTTTTTATCTCTTACTCAAACTACCTCCGATACAGCGGCTGAAATCGCTGGATTCAAACACAGTGATTTTAAAAGATTACCGTTTACTAAATCTTGTGTTCTTTTAGCATTTTTTCTTTGACATCTTTTGCCAAGCCCTTCTTTAATATTAGAAGCCAACTTTGTGCTAAATCATTATAAATATTTGTTCCAAATGTTGGAATATTTTCTATGTATTTCGGGATCCATCATCATTTCGTGGTCATTCTTGATCCTTCTCCCGAGGGAAAGTAATTTTTTTCTATCAAAGCCATTTGTCATTTGTCAAATATCCTCGTAGAGCCCCCACGCAAGCGTGGCATTGTTGGTCATTGCCATAACTGCCAACTATACGGACACTAGGCCCGATTCTGTTTCGCCCGTGCTCGTTGCGTCAATTAATTACTAAAACTGACCAAGTGAGATTTGTTAACTTTCAAATGGAAATTTATTTGCGCACACCTGGGACGAAAAATTTCGCTATCGTAGCAACATTATTATATATGTCCCTGTTTTTGACCGTAAACTAATATAGCTATGAGTCGACTTTATGAGGTGAATTAAAACTCTGTTTATTCCTTTAGTTCTTGTTCTGAGTGTGTGAAGGCGCTTGTTAAAGAGACGATTTCTACCATATTTATACCCGGGCCGGTGCTGGCTAAGCTTGTTCACGAGCGCGGTACTGTAGGGCTTAACCTGAAGGGGTAAGACTCAAATGGTAGTTAATAATAACGAATAAGATTCTTGATTTTGTTTATTTTATCTCTGAGCGAATACAATCATTATAAGTATATTAATAGACCACTATTCGTTCTTGTGTTTGAATTCTATCTACTGGAATCTTCCACAAAAGACAGAAGATTCCCAATTTCAAATCTTTAAAATAGTGATATTAACTCTTCTTTAATATAACTGCCAGCCGTAGGCATTGCATAAACAAAGAGTTTACACAAGCAAAGAGGCCGTAACGCAACGGGCGTTACTGTACCGACCCCAAACCATTGCTAGCGCCGGTATCGTTAACAAACTTCCACAATATCCCATACCTATCTGACGCCCGGGCGTAGACTCGGTTTCTACCCGGTTCCTACCCGGATTCTACCTGATTTCTACCCGGACTTGGAGACTGGAAGATAATGCGAAGGTTCTGGTAAAAACCACTATAACTTCGTAATAAGTACCTGCTGCGCAGCAAATTAGGCTAACTTTCTCTGTCATTAAGTTTGCATTAAATTAAAACTGCACCTAATATATTTATTTAATCAATAAAATGAGAGCTTGCTTTCCACAACTGTGTAGCGAAAATAAAATAGCTTTTGAATATCAGCAAAAGTAAAGCAAACCTAATATTTATGGAATGTCCAAAATATAAAATAGTGATTCTGGAGCAAGTTTAAATTGAAAATAACGAAAAGCTTGAGCCTGTAATTCAATTTGTTCATTCGACGTATAACTGACTCAGACAGCTGCCCAAACTGTTTTGACCGGACGAGTAAAGATTCGGTGCAACTACATACATATCATATCGACTTTGAAAGAAACTCATATGAGTGAATTTAAAATGCATGGAAATTTCTCTATGCCAATATTTATAACAGTGTTATTAATTTTGAACTAGATTTTTGGAATTTATGTTTATCATGTTCTTTCGACATTTTAATAATTGTAATAACAAGGTATTTCTTTACAACCCATAGAGAAATAGAAGATGTCGTCTATCCTGTGTACCTTGCCAAAATCTTCTGTGCACGTTAGAAACTTGAGCTGCCCTTTGATATTGCCTAAGTTGTGTGTGTGAGAGTGTAAAATTTTTTTGATGGGATAATTAAACAATTTTATGTGATATTTCTTGAATAGGTATATGAAAACATAGGTAGTTAGAGTTATTACCTATCTGAATATGTAAACCCCATCAACTAAAGATGACGGATGAAAAAAGGCTATACTCGTATATAAAGAGTGTGCTCTATTTCCAGAGTTACGTGGCTGGCTAGTGAAGGACTCACAAATTATCTGCGTCGTGTGATTCAAGATGAAAAGAACAGGGAGATACATGTATGCCACTCCTACCAGGACCTGTCAAGTATACCAGAGAAGTACCTTCACGGTATCGACAGCAAAGGGCGCCGGCTCTCCTACCAGAGGGCAGTGTCGGGAGAGGACCCCATGCCCCACCCTCGATACCAGGATACCAGCTTAAGAAAACGTGGAATACCGGAGAATTCTGAGGTAAGTAGTAGAGCTAGAAAAACTTATAATTATTTATAAATTTTTATTTTGTGAATTTCTAGGGTCTCTAAATTACAGGAAATCCTGGCGAATCCTAAGGTAAGGTGACAGCAAATGATTATGTTTATAGATATATTAGATTTTTTTTTTCTTTTTTTATGCAAAATAGTCAATGCGTTTGACCACAATCTCACCTGATGGAAAGTGATGATGAGGCCTAGGATGGTACACGCCTGCCTAGAAGATGCCTGTTCACTCTGGCCTTGAAGATGTCCAGATTATATTGGTCCGGGAAAACAGACCTCGGCAAGGAGTTCCACTCCCTAGCCGTTCGCATAATGAAGGCCGAAGCAAATCGCTTCGTGCGAATGGGAGGAACTTCGACAACATAAGGGTGGAAGCCCTCGCCGCGCCTGGTCGTCCGGTGGTGGAAACCGGAAGGGGGGATCAAATTATGTAATACCTCCGCACACTCTCCGAAATGTAACCGATAAAACACCGAGAGGCAAGCTACACGTCTTCGGTGGTCAAGGCTCTGGAGATTAGCCTCAACGAGAGCGTCATTGCCTATGAGTCTCTTCACACGGTGTTCCACCGAGTCCAGTGCATCCAGCTGATACCGAGCAGATCCGTCCCAAAGGTGACAACAGTACTCCAAGCAGGAGCGAACTTGGGCTCGGTAAAGGTTAAGGAGCTACTCAGATGTAAAATATCGCCTGACCTTAGAAAGTATTGCAAGTTTTCTGGCAGCGGTTATATTAAACAATTATCATATTTTAAACCCCCATTTATAACTGGTTCGCCTTAGGCTTCCGATATTTTTGTGTGTTTTAACGATCATTTTGCTACATTTAATTTTGACGGTGTAGAAATATACAGGTCACGTCGCAAATTACAGCGATCAATTAAAAGGATTGGTGCTTTTAAGTTACTCAAAGGCAACGCTTTATTACCACTTTGTTAAAATGTTTAAAGCTAGAAGAATTCATTGTGTTTGCTTTTAAAATCATGCACGCTTGACGCAATTTATTGTGACAACAAATTTAATCGGCTTTACTTAGAAGGGAAAAACAGATTGACTTAGCATCCAGGTAAAATACTCGCACTTAGTACTCGCACTTATTGTATCTATGGTAAAGAACACTGTAAATTATAATAAAACAACAATGAGTTGATTACAGAATTATTTTCAGTTACAATTTATGAGTATACCAAACAACAAGGTAAAAATAACAATGATATGGCTACTTTGACACACAAGGGCACCTCTAAAACCATCGACATAATAAATAAACAAGCTCATTGTTTTATTTTTCCAAACTTGTTGGTCAATGGAAGATTGTGCCAGCTACATATCGCGTGATACACGCACCGATCCTTACAGGCGTAGATATCAGCGCAGGCCCCGTAATCTAAGCCTAAATACCGTACAACATCGTTATTACAAAAAATGACCATTTATGATTAACAGCTTTAATATCCTCGTTGAAAACGTGGAGAAGAACCTTTTTTCGCTTTAAGAACTACTCATACGAAAATTGATTTTTACCACTTTTGCCATTTTTAATCTTGAACAATCTGTGCTTTTTAATAGCACCACGCACCGCCAACGGAGTCTACATCGTTTAAAGACAAATAGAGGTTAAAGTAAGTGTACGATTTTATTTTAAATTTCATGTAAGTCCTTTGGGTACTTCGGTGTGAGTTCTGTACAATATTATAAAATATTAAATTTAGAATTGGGTTCCACACCGCCACCTTTTGAATATCCTTTAAGGATTTATACTTCACATTTTTAAGATTTCTGAACTAATGGGTCACTTATGGGCATTTATCTATTTTTATCTGTTTTCCTTTCCCATTCTAAGCTGATAAAAAGATTTAATATACTACATATCTTATCTCTTTCACACTACGAAGTGAAAAGGATGGTCTGGTGGTTTTAATTTCATACTTTTTTGTTTAAGAATGTTTGATTACAATAACAGATATACTGTCAATCGTTGCAATTATATATTTTATAACATATTTGCTCGTAAAGCTTCGCTTATTGCACCAATTTCAATATCATAATCTATCACATTACAAACGCGTGCGGTAATGTAAAGTAAAACGCACGGCTTATTATGTTCCGTCTAAAAACGAACGATACTTTTGTTCAATCTTAGCAAAGAGTTTTTATGTCTGAAAGTTAGCCAACATTTTCTTAATAAAATTAACTTTGGAAGAGAAAATATAATATATAAACCATAGATAAATGTTTGGTCTCGCTTAATCATTCATCTATGATATAAACATTTAATTCTTTAATTTGATTCATTTTGACAATCAATTACAACCATGTATCGGTAACAAATTCACAAAAATGTTAATTTACTTTATTAGTAACACTGGCAGTTTTTGTTAGACATGATTTTCTTAACTTTAAACTAAATTAAACATCAGTCTCTCCATGATCTTTCCTTTTCATTATGTATAGAGACAATAAGGACACACTGTTCACAAATTGAATTTTAGGCTTAGAGAATCATGCGGAATCGACACCACTGCAACTATTTATTTTTATCACAATACTGAACCAAAACTAAAGATATAACTATTTTTGAGATAATTTAATAATCTCCATTTGATATCATAAGCATATTCGAGCAACTAAGCATAATATAAGTAGGTACTTACATAAGTTATATAATGGTAATGATTTTTCGTCTTATTTCGAATGTATTTCATACAGACCCTGTTACATTTGGGGACAGAAAAAAATAAGATTACTCACTCGGTTGCTCCTATTTAAAGTGATGCTCCGTCTCATGCCCGCGGCAATTCATAACTATAAAAAAATATTTATTTGATGGCAGCATAGTGGACAATGGAATGTTATGCGTATGCGACGAAAATAGTTCATTCATGTTTGTGGACCACTACACAACAAAGCCGCCTGAAGCTCAATTTACTCGCTAAAATAACATCAGTATCGGCACATTGTATTGAATGGCCGACCTCTTGGTAAGGAAAAATGATATCAATCCATCATTTTTTTATATAAATGCTTTCGGACAATGGAAAATGAAATGACAGTGATATTTTACAGTCACACTCGCTTCGCTTGGAATTTACTTGCAAGATGTTAGGGTGGACTATATAATTATTGGTCCTTTGAGCGGAATTCTTCATTTGCTTGTCTGTAGAAAAAATATTATAAGTTTTATATTGAATATGGTTCCACAATGCTGTTTAAGAAGGGTTAAGTATCAAAATAAAACGACTTTAAAATGCCTAATATGAAAATGTATTAAAATATTTCAAAATCGAGTTAAAATGTTTTAAGTGTATAGTGATTGCATACTAGAGATTATAGCAAAGAATGGCACAGCAAAACTATGATATTTTATTGAATTTAAGGTGAAATTCTGGTAAAATACAGTTTTTTTCTAATGAGTACTTATATTTTACTAATAATGTCGAAACAATGAAACATTACAAGTTATAAAAAAAGTGTTTAAAGCGCTTGACCCTTAGTGACTTCTTTGTTTTAAAAAAAATGACATTTGTAGAACTCAAATTTATACTAAAGATTGAAGAATTGCCAACAAAAATAATAAAATGATACCATCTTCAGTATTTTATTCATAAATTTCTTCATATTTCAGTATAAATGCAAGATGGCCAATCATTGTGTGGGAGGGCCAACATTAGTACCGGCACCGCTAATTAACACAATATTTGAATGTTGAAATTTCTAAAAGATGGTTCTGTGTAAGCAATCATTTACCTATGCAAACTTTATTTTTTTTAATTATCATAAAGGGGAAGTCAGGCTAGTGGATTTTACGCTGGTATTTGAAGGAAGGAGATTACCTCAATGTTACGGAACAATGTTTGTGTTTTTTATTCATGGGGGAGCTGGAACATAATTTTTCACTGTTACATAACTAATATCAGTTTCTTTCTTCAATTAACTACGTTTCTTAAAATCTTCTGACATTTACATTCCGAATCAATTAATAATCTCTTCGTCGGAATGAAATTGAACAAACTAAAACGCGCTGCACCTTTTGATAAACTTGCCGATGTCTGCAAAACGAACGGGGCACTATAATCATTTAACCAAACAAATCACAAGGTCTGAAAACAAGGGTTACCCTCTGACCTAATTCATCAGCACTCGGTGAAAAATATTCTGGATTTCTTTGACCTACTAAATCAGAGGGCTAAAGTTAGTATCTTGAATCTAAGTGCAGTGATCATACTTTTAATTATAAACTTTCTATATCTACCGTGCTGGACAGGAATCAAAAGAAAAAAATTAGAATGCGTCATTTGCTTTTTGCAAAAAAGTAAAATGTGGCCGCAAAAGACGAACAAATCGACTAGTCCGGGAGGTAGCGTTGCAAATGCAAAAGTCATAGTAAGCCGGCTGATATTAACGTCGATAGTTGATATTATATGACTAATAAGTGAACCCACCGTCAGCTGCTCAAGTAGCGGTGGGTGCGGGTGTAGGAGGCTGCGAAAGAGGTAAAAAAAAAAAAAAAAAGTAATAGTACGCTGGCTGAAACTTTTTCCATAAATAGTTGATGTCATACTGAGCAAAAAAAAATCGTCAGCTGCATCGTGGAGGGGGGATTATGCGTCAGCTGGCTGCATGAATTTGTAAAAAAAAACGTAAAATAAAGTTATAATACGCCGAATGAAATTTAACTACGCGATTCTTCAAAAAATTTAGAGTACGAAAACAACAATCAGCTGATTGTGTAGCGGTGGAAAGACCGTCAGCTGACCCAGTCAAGATTTAAAATTTTGGAGTATTGCTGTGAGGCTGTTCGCTTTCAAACACATATTTTGCGATACATTCTGGCCTTCCTTGAACCCATAACACGACCTTCGGGCTACCTAAGCCTCTCCCCAGTGTTGCCAACTCTACGTCTTTTTACGTAGATCTACGTATTTTAGGCCTTTTCTGGAAACCTACTAACTTCAGTCCCAGAATCTACGTATAT